TAGGGACTGATGTTTAGCGCCGGACACATCTCCATCAAATGCCACTTACCGCAAGATGTTTTTATTAAAACCAAGCATTTAATTTGTTTTAATTTGTCTTTAGTGGCAAGGATTTTTTTAAAATTTACAGGCAGTTTGTAAACAAATAGCATGGCAGTTTCCAAGTACCAGCTTCTGTACTTAGGGGCCATAAAAGCAGGCAGGTTCCTGTTAGCAAACTTTGCTATTCAAGTGGCAATGAACTAGTTGGCTTTGAGCTACATATGAACACATCTCAAGAATATATTTCATATTCAATTAATTGTTTGTATAAAATAGTACTTGGCACTTACACTACACTTTTTATCTGAGATTCTCAAAGCCTTTTGCAAGTGGTTCAGTTTTATTACCCCCGAATCACAGCTAAAAGAATGAAATCAATGTCACACTTCTAGGCATTCACTTTAAATCTTTCTTTTTTGTTTCGTGGGAGATGAAACCATCAAAGACACAGACCAACAGTCTGGCAAATCCTGGATCCCCCTGTCCCCTGCGTGCTTCTTGGAGAAGCCCCAAACGCCTTTTATTCTAGCATCCAGAAGGACTGGGCAAAGGAAAGTAAACAGATGCAACAAAAAACCCATAGTGGGGTTTATAAACCCCACTATCTAGACCTGACAGTGGGGTGTAGAGTGGGGGGAGAAAATAACTCTTTCATCCCAGCCACCATGAAGTGGGAGATGGAGGTGGGAAAGTGTCTCTCTCTCATCCAACCAGAGCTTTTCAACATTTGCATTGTGAAGTTGAATAACTTTGTGCAGCTGCTGAATCAGGGCCAAGCATTCTCATCAGTTATGGATGATGAATGGTACAGCGCAAGCATTGCCGCTCTGTGTCGGCCTGTCACATATCTCGTATATCTGTGACACCATTCAGCGGCGATGATTCTTTGCACGTTGCCCTTGACTCTGCTCAGTACTTTAGCTGTTGGGCTTTAGCGATAACCCTGTTTAAGTAAATGGGGCCATAGATACCTCTCAGAGATGATTGTTTCAGGCTTTCAGGAGGCCAGTGTGTCATTGGGTCATATTTGGAAGTTTGTCTTTGAAGTCAGAAGGGCTAGAGACATAATCTTCTTTCAGTAAAGGTTAAATTCTGTAGAAACTCATGCTCTCAATGAGTGCCACTATACTGTACCACCATGTATCAACTCAATCCATCCTTAAATGGAAGTGTACCGTTACTGGGTGATGGGTGTATTTTTGTGTTAAGGTCCTCTTTCCTGTGTGTCATTTCCTCATTTTAGTGCATGTTCAGTGCATTACACCATGTAATACTGGAAACCTGTGCTCCAAAATTCAGTGCAAAATGTTCCTCCTTTAACTTGTAGATTGTGATAATAATAGCCTTTAAAGTGGAGTGGGGCAACATTTTTTGAATTAATAGTTATATTCGCCAGAAAATGCAGTTTTAGTCAACATGGAACTGTTTGCGAATTTGTCATGAATTTGCCCAAATAGTTTTGGACCAAAAAAAAAAAAATGGCTACATTCCCGAGGGGACTTTGGTACCAGTCATGAAATGAAGGCATGGTGTGGTGCCCTCTTCTTCTAATCTTTAGTCTACTGGTTAGGGCACTCCCCTTGGGGGGAAGACCTGGTTCAAGTCCCTGTTCCAGAGTAGCAAGATGAACCTGGGGTGCGGGAGGAGACACATGTTGAACTCCCCACTCTGGACTGGCTTTGAGAGACTGAGAAAGACCCACCTCTAGAATGACAGGTTTCAGAGTAGCAGCCGTGTTAGTCTGTATCCGCAAAAAAACAGGAGTACTCGTGGCACCTTAGAGACTAACAAATTTATTAAAGCATAAGCTTTCATGGGCTACAGCCCACTTCATTGGATGCATAGAATGGAACATATAGTAAGAAGATATATATATATATATTATATATATATATATACACACAGAGAAGGTGGAAGTTGCCATACAAACTGTAAGAAGCTAATTAATTAAGATGAGCTATTATCAGCAGGAGAAAAAAACTTTTGTAGTGATAATCAAGATGGCCCATTTAGAAAAGTTGACAAGAAGGTGTGAGGATACTTAACATGGGGAAATAGATTCAATATGTGTAATGACCCAGCCACTCCCCGTCTCTATTCAAACCCAAGTTAATGGTATCTCATTTGCATATTAATTCAAGCTCAGCAGTTTCTCCTTGGAGTCTGTTTTTGAAGCTTTTCTAGTCTGTTGGGTAGGGCACTCCCCTGAGGAGGAAGATGTGGGTTCAAGACCCTCTCCAGGCTGGCACATCCCATGTGAGTGCCCTAACCACCAGGCTAACAGTTATAAGGGGGCTGGCAGCAGCAACTCCTTCTCAGGCTGTTTTGTGAATGTTGCCTTTTTAAAATGCCTAGAAACAAAACTAACCATTTTGTGTGACCTGAAATAAACTTTTTAAAATTTGCTTAAAATCCCAACAAGTTTCAGAATTGGTTAAAAGAAAACAGGTTTTTTTAAGTCTTTTTTTAAACTGCCAGTGAACCCCCAAAAACCAGTTATTCACACAGCTCTACCCTAAACTCACTGACTTGTAGGAACCACCCTGTATCATTTAGGTGCTCTAAAAAAACAAGAAGCAGAAGAGACGTGGTTAAATATATGGGAATAATAAGGAAAATGTTTCTTTAGATGCAACAATAGATTTATGTTAGCTCAATATTACTGCTGTGGAAGACCATGGGAAGAACTCAGATTTTTAAATTAAGACAAATCTTAAGCCTCTGTAGAGCACATGAAAAGCTGTGCAAAACTCAGATAGCTATTTTGTACGAGTACGTTCATACTATAACTCACAACAGGGCATATTGTGTTTCACTCTTTATAGTCTGCCTTTTTCTCATTTATTTTCATTTTCGTCATAATGACTGTTTTCCTCCCCCTTTCTGTGGATTGCACAGCCCCTTTTTTCTTTTGATAACTAGTATGTTAACAATTATACTCAACTTCATTTTGCTCTTTTTGGCAACTGTTGAATCTACCTGTTCTCTGTAGACATGTTTAATACATAGCATTATTGCTTTATTCAAGCATTTACATTTGAGTGATGAGTTTATCTATGCAGGTCTTACAGAAGTCTATTAAATCTGTTTATTTGTGATTCTGATATAATTGTGCATGCCAGTGTTATTGCTGTTTTCCAGAAGATTAACCATATTTTATAGAACCTAGATTTCAGTTTTTGAATGGAAAGTGGTGATGATTTCAGTGTTTGATTTATAGACAGAAAATTAAGCTTGATAGGGCACAATCAAGAAGTAAACAGTAAGAAATAAGTGCCAGCTACCTTCTTGTATCCTTTTATTTGTTTGAAAATATCCAAGAATAATTTATGCTATTAGATTCTAAATCCATCTCATACTTTTAGACAATGTCATACATTTTGTTGTCTCTTTTTCCTCCTATCTTTAGCTGTATTGTCATAAATTTCCTTGTCTTCTTTTTCTATTGAAAATTGTGAAGAAATACTGAAAGGTCATCATCTTTGTCTTAATCTGAACTTTATTTTCAATAATTGTATTTTCACCCTCATTGATTGTAATAGGATGTAATGTATTCTATGTATCCTAAAATTGATACAACATAGAAAATAGTATTTATGGACTTATGAACTTAAAAACAAACAAATATCCATTATTATTCATGTAATGCTGCATCAACTATATAATATAATTTATCTGGTATGGAACACTGAGTCCCATTGAAACCAATGAGAAATGGGTATATGACTATTCAACGTGCTTATTTGCTGTAATGTTTTTGGTTATTTAGAGCTCGTGTGGGCTTTGTTGATTACTTGATATGCATTTTTGAGATGTGCAGCAGTCACCCTTAAAACCTTGCCAGTTGAGCATTAGGTATATGGATATACTGTATTTCCCTCAGCATAGGTCTGATCCCAAGCCCTCTGAAATCATTGGGAATCTTACTGAAGATTTACTTTTCTAAGGCAAGGTTACTACCCCTTGTCCTTTGTGTGTATGGTTGGGGAGGAGTCAAATTATAAGATGAGAGAAGAAGGGAGAAGAATCAGTAGTCTTATGGTTAGAGCCTAGTCAACTTGAATTTAAATAGCCAGGATTGACTAAGCACATTATGACAGGTTTCAGAGGAACAGCCGTGTTAGTCTGTATTCGCAAAAAGAAAAGGAGTACTTGTGGCACCTTAGAGACTAACCAATTTATTTGAGCATGAGCTTTCGTGAGCTACAGCTCACTTCATCTGATGAAGTGAGCTGTAGCTCACGAAAGCTCATGCTCAAATAAATTGGTTAGTCTCTAAGGTGCCACAAGTACTCCTTTTCTTTAAGCACATTATGATTTTCATAAGGATGAAGTACTACTAACATACTTATTTGGTCAAGGAGAAATATGTCATTGACTCCAATGGGACTGGGATTAAATCCACTGCTTCCCCTGACCCTTCTGTATGATCTTTACCTTCAAACCCTCTCAGAGACTGTTGGTACTTTAGTTGTTCACCACTCATGGCAGAAAAACACACAGGGCCATATCCAGCCCCCCTTTGTGGTGCTCCTCTTTGTGGTGCCTTGCAAACATTATCGGCTGAAATTGTGGTGTCTGAGGAAACATCTTCCCTTGGCAGGATTGCCTCTTGGAATGTCAAATTCTCCCTTGGGGTGAGCTCTGTTTTTTGGCGGATTGTCAGAAAGCCTAATGTGTGGAATGTAGTATCAAACAAATTAAAATGTACACATTCATCTCATACACAACCAGAATTTATTAAACAAAGACAACTAGAGTTGGGCAGTAAAATGTCAAGGGTGAAATCCCGACCTTATTGAAGTCAATGACAGACTCCCATTGATTTTGATAGGACCAAGTTTTCACCATAATTGTTTCCATTTTTCCGGGATATATAATAAATGCTGAAATATGTAATATGTTAGTTGTTTACTCTCTCCATTACTCACAAACAATTTTTGCGTATATTTACTTAGGGGCAGATGGCTCCTTTCAGAAAAATGGCAGGAGGTTATCAGAGGTGAGGACAATTTTGTAAGTTTCCCTTGCAGAGTTTCTCCATATTCCCTCATGTTTGGCCCCTTCCCTGCCCCTGAAAATGCACAGATACACCTTCTTCCCCTCAAACTCACTGATAGTTAGAAATTCAGATTTCTATGTTGCAAACACATACAGATATGCTGAATATTTGTAGCCCCATTAGAGTCTAACGGTTGCTCGATTTTAATACGTGTCTGTGTTTTATTTAGCTGTGTGTGTGTGAACATATGTATATGTGATGACCACTATCTTGGCCAACACTAGGAATTGAAGCAGGGACTTCCAGTGCTAAAAGCACATGCTTGTGCAGCTTGAGCCAAATTTCTCTAGCTGGAATTATAACAGACTCACATCCTCAGCAGATCAGGCACAGAGGGGGATCGGTAATACATATTCACCAGCAGGTTACATATACTTACATATATATTTACATATACATAGTCCTGCAGTAGACTATTCCTAATTGCCTGGTGACCATTTCAGTTCATAGTTGATCTGAGCACAGTTCAGGCAAATATATAATACTGTCTTCCCACTGATGTTCTTTGTTAGGTAGTTTTTGTTTTCTGCCTATCAGTGGAGTTAATATAGCTCCCATTCATTTGCACAAGTTGTTGGGTTATCTGCTTTTTGTGTATGAAAAGTCCTTGTTATTTTTCCTAACTAGTCTATGCAAGGTCTTCTGTTGTTGCCCTCTGTATCTCATGCTTGTTATTCTTTGATATTTTGACTTTCTTTGTACAGAAATGTGTTGGAGGTCTAATTTTTATGTGCATTTTCCAGGAACAAAATGTAACTTTTGTCTGTCCTTAGTACTGTTAATCAAAAAGTGTCTCATAGTCTCTATAGAATTATAGATTGCATGCATTCATAATCTTTTGTAACTCATTTACCGCCTGATGGTTTTTTGTTATAGATGATCTTAATCAAAAGTTTTTTTGTTCTCTCTATAGGTTGAAATCCAGTGCAGCAGGTCAGCCTCTTAAGAAAAGCTTTGTGCTCATCAGATTGGAGGCTGTTAGCTTTGCAGTTTACTATTTCGGTTTTATTCTCTGGAATCATCCTTTGTGGGATTAATAGTTGATCCATTCTCCCTTCCTCAGGCATTTTCTCTTCAAAAATCATCTTTCACTGCTTGGTTTAGCTGGTCTATTGATATGTGGGGTGTGCCTTTGATCCCCTCTCCTTCTTAACCCATTTCTGATGTCAGGAAAAAAAGTTAATGAGTGTCATCTCTTTTTCTGATCTTCTCTACCAGTCACACATCGAAGTCATGTTTGAAAGAAGCACATGAGCCCCTTTATAGACAACTTTTCCTTTCAAAACTACTCTGGATCATTCTCCATGGACTGTACTTTCTGATGCCCTCTGTGATACTTTTCTTAGAGACTTGCCTACCTTGAAGTCTTTTGTCATTTGCTTCTGTCACATTGCAATTTAATTGCGAGGCTTTAAGTAAATTCCATGTTTTCTTGCCTGATGCCCTTTCTTGCTACTTACTTCCTCAGTCTGTCAACATTATTATTCCAGTCTTGGTGTTTTGATCTTTCTAAACCCCATCCTTACTTCTGTCCTAAGTCTGATTTTGGAGGTTATGTGCTGCTTAGGATTAATATTCATGGCCTGTAATAATTCACTTTTGCCCATCACTGATAATGAGGATACAAATATTTGGATGAGATTAAGACTTAGGTTAATATCTTCAGCTGGGAAAGAGTTTGACATTCAGTAATTTTTTACTGAATTCAGTAATTTATTTAGAGAATACATACCACATCTGTAATTAAAATGCCTATGGCCTAAATTTTCAAAAGTGGCTAATAATTTGGGATGCCTCAATTTCTGGGTGCCCAACGTGAAACCCCTTAAAGGGGCCTGATTCTCAGAGAGCAGGCCCTTTCTGCGTCTGTCATGTTGGGCACGCAAAAACTGAGGCTTGCAAAATCTCTAGTCACTTTTGAACATTTAGGCCTATGTTCTTAATGCAAGTGCAGCTACAGATTAATTTCTTTTGGCTTAGAAAACTTTAATTCTAAAAAAGGATGGTTTGAATTTGAATGGTGAACAAATTACCAATTAGCAGTGGCATCCCTTTGACATCCGCACTATAATAAAACTGGAGTTACATTTGACGTCAGACACCCAAACCCAGCCTTTGTCAGTAATGTGCAGGAATAAATATTGTTTGATATTAAATGTGAGGTTTGGGGTTATTGGAACCAGTATAAATATGTTTGTTTGTAGGATGTTGTAGATATTTTGTGACAGCTGGAAAGATTCCTGCTTCATATACAGGTAATTGCATGAAGAATAAGACTTGCATTCTAAAAATTGATTATGTGAAAAGTAGTGAAGGTCAGGGAATATTGTTTTTTCTATTAACAGGCTAAACGAGCAGTCTGCATTTTTGCAGTTTTTCGTGGAGATTTATAAATAATATACTGGAAAGAGGACAATCCCTCTTTTTGAACAATTTCTGTATGTTCCTCAATTGAGATTGTGGTTCAGGGTCTTTGTTAGTAAGAAATAACGTGCTGAATATGCAAAATGTTTTTCAAAAGTGTAATATATTCCTTGTATTTAGTAGATCAAAGAGACCATAAACAGGAAAACAAATGGGGTCCTATTTGCTTATTTCACTCAGAGATAAAATGAGCCCAAATTAAATTCATCATTGTTTAATTAGCAATTTAATATGAAGTAATTTGCATGCTACGAATATATCATCAATTTCTGTTTTAAGTGAAGTGCATGGAGCGTGTGTGCAAGATGCTGTCTGGATAGCCTTGGAGGCTGAAGTTCTTTGTGCACCCACAGGACAGCTGTAGCATAGGTAGAGAGAGTGTAAGCTTCTCTCTCTGTTCTGGCTCTCTGCTTCAGTCTTGACTGGGGAGGGACTAGCCTGAAGGGCTAAGAACATAAATTAGTTTCTATGTCCGTGAATATACTTTCATTCTTTGGTAGAACTGGTTGAAAAATGAAAACCCATTTTTGTGGAAAATGTCAAAATTAAAAGTTATTTTAATTTTAAGGGATTGGAAGTTTCTCATTTTTTAAACTTTTCCACAAAATTTTTACTAAAAACATAAAAATGGTTATCAACATTTTTCAAGTACCAAACCCACAGTTTTCGGTAAATAAAAGCCTTGATGACCATTTTGAGAAATTACAAAATATTGAAAGGGCACACTTTTTTTGAAAAAATTAAAACTTTCTATAATGTTGATAATTTTTTGCAAAAACATGTTTTATTAAAAAAGGCCATTTTTTCTATTAAAAGACTTTTTGTTGAGAAAATGTTGAGCAGCTCGAGTCTGGCTTTTCTGTTCAGAGTGCGAACAAGGACTATTTGGTAAAAATTATGATAGAGTTAGTGTGTGGTCTAAAGATGGAGAACTCAGCTTACACTGCCACTGATCTTACGTTGCCTAACTGCTGTCATATGATCTCAACTTTGGGTCACTATCAGTAAGACCTGGATTCACATCAGTCACCTACATCTGAAAGGTATAATTATCATTTCCAGAAACCATCTAGTCCCCCAAACTATTTTTAAGCAATTATCCCTGGAATGCACTAACACATCTCCCAAAAGACTAAGAACAGTAACTAGTGATCCAGGAGTTTGGGTAGCACTGTAAGAGAGTCAAGGGAGTTCAGTGCGTAATCAGGGAAACCCAGATTACTCTGCCTGCAAAATATTTGGTATTTTTAACTATGCTGAACATTTCAAACTCTATATATGTTTAATAACTACAGTACTTAACTATGTGTTCAAGTTCCAAAGATTGTGTTTATCATGAAATATTTATTAAAGAGCAAACCTTACTGGATTCCACAGTTGGAAACTTGAAGAAATAGCCTTCATCAGAATCGTTGTCTTGCCCCAGTTTGGTTTTCTAGTGCCCCCTTCACTGTGCAAATACACACCTCAGCCAAGGAATGTGTGCTGCTGTACTTTGGAAACCATGCCTCCAGTAGGTGTGCAGTGCCTCTCCATTCATCTGAGTAAACCTGGGCAGGAATCTGCATGATTTGGGGAATACTGACACAAGGGCTATCTTTGATAAGTTATTGGATGATTCTCCCTTTCCCGTAGCCATTCTGGGCTTCATTGCACAAGCAGACCAGGCACTTTGTGGACCTGAAACTAGTAACACCACCATCAGATGCACGAAAAAGACACTAGCAGAAAGAACTGAGTATAATTACAGCTGTAGTTTACAGTCCACAAAGGTACTTAAGCATGTGCCTAAATGTAAGCATGTAACTACTCCAGTTGACTTCAATGAGAATATTTATGTGCTTAAAGTTAGACACATGGTTAAAAATCTTGCTGAATTGGTGACGTGATGAGTGATGAGCTGTTTGTTGTCCCAGTCCAATGCCAGAATGGTTTGAACTTCCCCTGGTAGTATAGAGTGCCTTGAACCATTTTAGAACAGAACATGGGTCTTTCAAGAAGTGATTCAATTTCCTCTGGGAATAAACAGCTATTGAGACTTGTGCATGTGTGGACCTTTATTAGTTATTATCACTATGGTGAAATCCATAATGCTGGTGATGGAGCCTGTGACAAGATGAAAACCCTGGACATAAAAATCATTTCATACAGTAATAAGGTAATTTTCTAGCATGTAGAAACATTTGCGTTTTTTGTGCAGTAATGATCAGAATTCATTTGTTTGAAAATACCATTTTCAGCTCAGAGAGGAGGAATACAGTCTTTATTGTCTTGGGTGTTGGGAGTTTGCTGTCCTTTGCTGAGTAAATCTGTGTCCCCCAAGTGAAGTATAGATCCTGTAAACTGTAGATTATAGAGATTTTTGGAAGAGTAATTTAATTCTGGTTATTACATTTCAGTTACATGGGTCTCACTGCTATTTTTTGTCCTTCATAGAATTAGTATTTTGATTATGGATGAAAAGGAAAAGTTTTAATTGTTCTAGCCAGAGAATCAGAGACACAAAAGGATGCTGC